GAATCGATGGAGTCCAGGAGTTAGAGGCTGCAGTGAGTTATGATAGCGCCAGCCTGGGAGACAGAGCCAGACCCTGCCTAAAAAGGCAAGAGTTCCAAATCCCTCATCCCGTGCTTCCTTCTGGGAATTTCCTGGGCATGAGCAACCACTGTGTGGGGGTGGGGCTGTATAGGGGGGTGTTCTTCCCTGCCAAGGGTCCTCTGCTTTACACCCGATTGTTCAGTTTAAGTATATAAAATAGTAGCACTGATCTGGGCTGAGCAAGGCTGTGAGTGTTCTACGTCGTCAGTTTTCACACACCCCATGAGGGAAGTGTTACTAGTATTCCAAGTTTACAGATGAGGAAACTGAGACACCGAAAGGTAGAGTTGCTCATAGTCCCAGTTAGTGAGTAGCAGTGCTAGGAATCTGACAGACAGTCCGGCTCTGGTATCCTTGGGTATCTTTCCACATCCACACAGAGTTCTGCCTCATTCTTTCTAGAAGCTTCTAATGTGCTATTTGCTGAACTGAAAATTACATTTATAGAATATATGTATTACGGTCGGCTGCTATGGCTCATGCCTGTAATCCCAACACTTTGGGAGACTAAGGCAGGCAGATTGCTTGAGCCCAGGAGTTCAAGACCAGCCTGGGCAGCATCATGAGACCTCTTCTCTACAAAAAATACAAAAAATTAGCCAGGCGTGGTAACACACACCTGTAGTCCCATGGCATGAGCCATGATCATGCCAAACCACTATTGCACTCTGGCTGACAGGGTGAGACCCTGACTCAAAACAACAACATCAACAATAACAACAAAAAACAATCCCCCACCCCCAGAATATATGGAATATATGTACTGTATTAGTTATATTCAGGCTGTTTGCTGCTTTGAGTCATTTCTTTTTTTTTTTTTGAGTTGGAGTCTCACTCTGTCACCCAGGCTGGAGGGCAGTGGCACGCTCCTGCCTACTGCAGCCTCGACCTGCTAGGCTCCGGCGATCCTTCCAGCCTTCCAAGTAGCTGGAACTACAGGCGCGCCCTACCACGCCTGGCTGATTTTTTGATTTATTGTAGAGATGAGGTCTCGCCAAGTTGCCCGGGTGGGCCTCGAACCCGCGGGCTCAGGCAATCCACTCACCTCGGCCTCCCAAAGGCTCGGGATTACAGGCTGAGCCACCGAGCCCGGCTTGAGTCCTTTCTAACAGTGATCTAAGGAACACCCTTGCACATTTGTTTTGTGCCTTTATGCATGTTTTTCTTTCTAGGAAGAATTCTTGGCAGTGAGGAATTGCTAGGTTGAAGGGAGGATGTCTTTTGTTTTAACTATATAATCTATTTTGTTTTTGAACATCTTAAACACCAACAGGGTTCAAATGCTGAAACTAGACCAAAATGTATGCACAGATGTCTCACCTCCATCCCTGTCCCCTCCCTCTTCTGTCTCCTGGAGGGAACTGTTTTTCTTACTCATTTTTCCTTCTAGTGTTTCTTTTTTCAAATATTAGAAAAGATTTGAACGATTTTAAATTTAAGAGATATCAACCTGGGCAACATAGCAAGACCCTATCTCCACGAAAAATAAAAAAGTCAGCTGGGTGTAGTGGTGCTTGCCTGTAGTTCTAGCTGCTAAGGAGGCTGAGGTAGGAGGATCACTTGAGCCCAGAAGTTAGAGGCTTTAGTGAGCCATGATCGTGCCACTGCAATCCAGCCCGGGTGACACAGTAAGACCTTGTCTCTGAAAAACAGACAAACAATGGTCAGATATATCCCCCCTCCTTGCACAGCATGAAGCCACCTATGTGTGCTGTTCAGGGCATGGGAGTGTCTGGCTAGATTTTCAAGGCTGTTTGCAGGGCTTTTGGAGACACAAGGAGGAAGAGAGCGGCCAGGGGCCAAGTCCAGGACTCAAACCAGCCCACCAGGGAGGTGTGGGGACGGATTCTGAGGGTAGTACAAACCCTCCATGCCACGGACCCCTCCCTCCCACCACCAAAGGGCAAGCCTGACCCTACCTCCTCCCAGACAGGCAGTTGCACTAGAGCTTATGTCCAGAGCTCGGAGGGTCTCACCAAGAGCCTGGGCACATGTCCTGCCAGCTGGGGGTGGGGAGGTCACGTGCATGCCATCCTCTCCTCTGCATTCATCCAGGCGCACCGGGTGTGTGCCTCTCAGAGATTCCCTCGCCACCCTCCAGAGTTCAGCAATTCCCTCCACCCCCCACAAAGCCATGTCCTCTGCTGTGTATCCTCAGACCCTTCATTCTCCAGCTCTTCTTCTGGTTCAGCTGACTTACGTGTGTTCCCCTTCACTGTGAGCCTTGAAGGCAGGAGCAGGTCTGGTGGGAGCCCACCCTTCGGTCCCCAGTGCCCTGTGCAGGCCTGGCCCTTAGTAGGTGCTCAGGACTGCTTGTTGCACGTCCCAATGGGCGGGAGCTAGGAGCATCCTTCCAATGGCCGTGCTGCACGGCTGGCCTCAAAGCCCAATCCTGACCTCTCCTTCCCTCTCTGCCCCCTTCCAACTCGGTTGTCTGTTAATGTCTCCCCTGCCCTCCACCTCCACCTCCCTCCCAGTCTTTCTGCTTTCAGACCCCCGCCCGGTGCTGTCCAGCACCCCCCACTCTCTCCTGTGTGGCTGATTGGTATCTGTTAATTAATGTTGCCCAGGGCCTCTCTCCTACTCAGGACCTGATAAGGGAAATTGGATGTCCATTTCTATCTATCTTGTATTACCTCCCAGCTCTCCGGCTACCGCTGGCAGCCACACGCCCTCTCCCATGCAGGGGTCCGGATGCCACACACACACCTGACCCCTCTGGCGGCCTCCCCTGGGAAGTTGCACCAGTCAGAGCTCCCCCATGTGGCTCGACAATCGCCCCTGCTCTCTTGATCATCCATGAATCCCACCTGCCGGGTGGTGATCCAAGCCCAGGGTGCACAGCTTGGGCTGGGAACTGTGATGATAGAACTCAGGTGAGGGCGACCTGCCGCCTGGGGGACCTCTGCCCCAGGAGTGCCCCCTAAAGTTGAACAGCCACGCACCAGGCAGAAGACCACGAGGGAGTGGGCATTCAAGGCCAGGGGACAGCCGATGGAGTGGTGCAGACCACGAGATCCAGAGAGAGGGCCGGGCTCGGAGCTGAGGACCACCCAGGCCTCCAGTCAAGCCCCACAGGGTGAGGCCAAGAAGAAAGAAACAGCCACCACTGTCACAGCACCCTGGCGAAGGTGTGCCACGCTGGGCTGAACGAAGTGCGGGCACTCTTCATGCATCTTCTTTCCTGTTCCCAGCACCCTACATCGGGCACGGCTTCCGGGCAGGGCATGGCCTAGGGTGGCAGAGGAAATACAATGCCCGCCAGAGGCGCAGTGACTCCTGAGAAGGCTCATCCCAGCTGCCCCAGTGCACGGTGCAGACAGCTGTGTGGATGTTCTTCCTTAGTGAATCCAGCGAGTCTGTGTTGGGAGCCGGCACTGGTCTCCCATTGAGTTCCTGCCTTGTGTTCAGTGTGAATCAGTCAGCTTGCTCACCTCCCCTACTGTCTTCCCTCTCTCTCTCCCCTTTCTTTCTGGCTCTCTGTCTCTCTCCTTCCCTATCTCTCCTGTCACTTTTGTCTCTCTCTCCTCTCTCTGCCTCTCGGTCCTTTCTGTCTCCCTCTCTCTCTCTGTCTCTCTTCTCTCTTTTTCTCTGCCCTTTCTCTCTTCTCTCTCCTCTTTTCTCTCTCTCTCTCTGTCTTTCCTCTGTCTCTCTTCTGTCTGTCTTCACTTTCCTTCTGTTCTCTCTTTCCTCTCTCTCTTCCTCTCCTCTCCCTCTCTGTCTCTCTCTCTCTGAATTCTCTCTCCCCTTCTCTTTCTCTCTGTCTCTGTCTCTCCCTCCTCTCTCCTTCTCTCTCTCTGTCTCTCCTCTGTTTCTCTCCTCTGTTTCTCTCCTCTCTCTCTCTCATAAATCAGGTTGTTCATTTACTTTGTTTGCTTTACATGCTTGTATAATGCAATTCCAGTGTACTACCCTTGTTTTGCAGGTGAAGGTTTCATCTCAGTAGTGATAACACGAGTTTACTAAATACTTTATTTTAGAATCATTGTCTCATTTAGACCTCCCAGCTACACTCCGAAGCAGGCCCTACAGTTATACCCATTTCATAGATGAGGAGGTTGAGGTTTGGAGAACTGCATGGCTCTCACAGGGTCACCCTTCAGCTGGTAACAGGAAGTCTGGATACAAGCTCGGCAGTCTCAGGAGCACCTTGGACAAGACAGTGTCACAGTTCCGGAGCCTTCTCTGTGTCCAACCTTCTTTCACTGTGGAGTCAGCCTCCTCGCTAGCAGGGAGGGGGAGACCAGGGATTCCAGGCTCCCAGAACAGGACCGCCAGGCCATCGTCAGGTGAAGAGTGATGGTCCGGGCAGCAGGGCTCTGACCCCCGTGCCCAGGCTGCCTGGGAGATGGTGCCCTTGCCCCTGGGTCCTTGATCTCTCAGCAGCCCCAGGCTGTGGCCACTGATGCCTTCCCTTGTGGCTTTGACAGCTGCACCCTTATTCCTGGTGGGGCTGGTGGGTCTCCGTGCAACTGAAACTGCGTCAAGGATCAGGTGTCATTTTAAAACACCGAAGCCTCCCTTGTTTGAGAGGGTCCCAGAAACTCCCCAGTGTGGAAGAAGCCCTGATTCTGCTACAAATTCAATAACTCCTTAAACTACAAATGCGTTGAATTAATCAACAAGCCTCTACAGACATTTGGGAAATACCAGAGAGCTACCAGTAATCATGATATTAGCAACCGTCAACATTGACCGAGCTCCTGTTACATAAGGTTTTTCCATGAATTCCGTGTCTGACTCATTCACCAAGCGGGCAGTGAGTCTAGCAGCTTCCTAGGGAGGGCCGCCAGGCAGGCCCCGGGGGTGCCAGGGACACGGTCATGTCACCTCCCCCAACCCCGGCCTCCAGGGAGGCCCAGGGAGGCCCCTGGACTGGTCCCTGACTGGCGGCTGCCCCCGCATCCCTGTTCCCGCAGGCTTCTCGAACCTCTCACTGGGGGACCAGATGAGCCTACTGCAGAGCGCCTGGATGGAGATCCTCATCCTGGGCATCGTGTATCGCTCGCTGCCCTACGACGACAAGCTGGTGTACGCTGAGGACTACATCATGGACGAGGAGCACTCCCGCCTGGCGGGGCTGCTGGAGCTCTACCGCGCCATCCTGCAGCTCGTCCGCCGCTACAAGAAGCTCAAGGTGGAGAAGGAGGAGTTCGTGACGCTCAAGGCCCTGGCCCTGGCCAACTCCGGTAAGGGTGGCGTGGAGCCTGCAGGGGGCGGCTGCGGGCAGTGGGAGCCTGGCGGGTGTGGCTCCAGGGCCTGTGGGCAGGGCCAGCTGCGGGGGGTGGAGATGACTGATGGGAGACCGTGTGGGGGTGGCTGGCCATTGGGGAGACTGTGCTGGGGCCCAGCGTCGGTGAAGAATTTCCTGACCCCTGACATCCAGCCTACACACCGGTTGAGAACACACGTTCTGGAGCCAGGGTGCTAAGTGACAAGCCCTACTTCTGCTTAGCCAATCAACTTCACTCTGTGCCTCAGTTTCTTTGTCAGTAAAAGGGGGATAATGAACAGTCCCTTTATAAGACCACTGAAGGGGTTGATTTGTACAGAATTATATTATACTGACAACATGCCTAGTATATAATGAGGGCTCAACTTGCTTATTTTATTTTTTTTATATTTTATTTTACTTTGAGACAAGGCCTTGCTCTGTCACCCAGGCTAAAGTGCAGTGGTGCCATCATTGCTCACTGCAGTCTCAGACACCTAGGCTCAAGCAATCCTCCCACATGAGCCTCCCAAGTAGGTAAGACAACAGGTGTGTGCCCCCATGCCTGGCTAATTTTTTTATTTTTTATTTTTTGCAGAGACAGGCTCTTGTTTTGTTGTCCAGGCTGGTCTCAAAGTCTTGCACTCAAGCAGTCCTCCCCATTTCGGCCTCCCAAAGTGCTGGGATTACAGGCATGAGCCACCGTACCTAGACTCAACTTCTTAAATTAGCTATGAATTTATTTGATTTTTACAAACATCCCAAGAGCAAAGTTTTTACTACTGTAACCCCATATTACAAATGTGGAAACCGAGATCTGGAAAGATAGATAGAATTGTCCAGGGTCACACGGTTAAAAAGTACCAGAGTTAGGAGCCAAGCCAAAGTCAGTTGATTCCAAAATCCACCTGAGCTTATACCCAGTCCCGGAATCATTCAATCAAATTGTCCGATCACAGGAGAATAAAACCTTCCCAGCTGATTGGCTTAGCCTGGTGTTGAAAAAACATGACTCACTCCATTTCTGTAGCATCCACCAGCTTCTGGCTAGATCATCTAGGAAGAGGGGCTTGGCATTGGGCCAGTGAATGAACTGGAATGTAACCAGCGTCTACACTTGGAGAGCTTCCTGCTATGTAGGAACAGTGCTGGGTATGTGGGAGGTGGGGGAGGAGCACGGGGTCCCTGCCCTACAGAGAGTAGACGGCAGAAATCTTACACACAATCCTGTCCCAGAGCAGCCAGTGGCAGGGTTAACACTCAGGTCTGGGTCAGGAGGACCCAAGTTCAAATCCTAGCTCTGGCACTTACTAGCAGTGTGACCTTGGGCAACTCAGCATTCATGTGCGTTTAGTGGGGATCGTCTGAGCATCTCTTCCAAGCACTTTTGTGAGTATTAAAGATTGACCAAAGATAAAGTCCTTAGCCTAGAGCCTGGCCTGGCCTAGAGGAAATAGTCAATAAATATGAATTATTGTAATTATTATTCACGTTAGAGGAAACGAAGTTCTTTGCATGGGGTGGGGATCCCCAGAGGGAGACAGGATGCACAGGGCCACTGACTGGTTTGCTCAACCCTGTCTAGCTTTTACTGCGACTCCCACATCCCAGGAAACCCCTCAGTCCCTGACAACCCAGGACATTTGTTCACCCAAGCATATGCCTTCACAGCACCTGCTTGATGCCCCACTCAGGCACTTTTACCGGGTTACAGCACCCATCCCCCAGCTGCCAACAGCTCGTAGCTCCCCTCTTCCCCAGACTCACCCCCCACCCCACACTGTTGCCTTACCCAGAGGGTTGTATCCCCTTCCTTGACACCGTGGACTGTTGGCAGATTCACCAGGGGACCAGAGGCTGGGCCAGAGTTCTGTGTGGGGCTGGGCTGGAGCTCAGGCCCATCCTTGCCTGGCTTACTCCTGCCCTGTGCTTCCTCTCCTCCCTTCCACAGATCCCTGCACCTAAACCTCAATCTCAGGCCCCACCTCTTGGGACCCTGACCTAACACTGAGAAGGAAGCGGTTCTTTTAAGTTCAAATCCCTTCCCCCACCCCCCTTTTTTAATTCAGGGTCTCACTTTGTCACCCAGGCTCACTGGGTACAGTGGCATGATCACGGCTCACTGCAGCCTCGACCTTCTGGGCTCAAGCAATCCTTCCAACTCAGCCTGCCGAGTAGTCGGTACTACAGGCACATGCCCCCATGCCCTGCTAGTCTTTTATTTTTGTAGAGATGAGGTCTTGCTATGTCGCCCAAGCTGGTCTCTTATGAACATCTCTCATTAACATCTTGCATTAGTGTGGCGAGTGTTGTGGATAGTGAGTGTTAGTGATACGTTATTATTAACTAAAGCCCGCACTCACCGTTGGGGTTGGTGCTTGATGTTGTGCTGTTCTGTGGGTTTTGAAAATGCACAGTAACACGTCTCCATCATGGTGTGTCATACAGGATGGCGTTACCCCAGGCTTTGCTTGTTCAGAGGAAGTCACCATCTCAGCTTTTGCAGGGAGTCTGGAGTTCTCCAGTGGCGGAGAGCAAAGGCCATGAACGCGGAGAAAATGTCTGTTTAAAGGCAGGGAGGGAGGAATAGCCACCATGGAGGTCGGGCTCCGTCCTGAGCTCTCCGGGCTCAACCAAGCCCTGTGAGAAGGAAGGAGGCCACGCCTCTGTCTCCTCCCTCTTGTCCCCAGCACCAGCCCAAAACTTTGAGCTGCTCTTGCCTTGATCTCACATGGACCAACACGCACACACATGTACGCACACCCATGCCTGCACACACCCACACACATGCACACTCATGGGCACACACACAGCACCTGAGACCCCACGGTGGTTGGTGACGTGACCCCATCAGGAACCTCTGTTGGCATCACGCTTTTCCTGGGTGCACACTGGGTCCCATGGATCGAGTGGCCTCTGAGGCTGTCCTGCATTGGATGCCCAGTCTGAGAGGCTCGAGGTGGAGCAGGAGCTTGTGTGTGCCAGGCCCTGGCTGACCTCCAGGAGAGGCCACACACTGCCTGTTCCAGAGAACCTCAGGCCTTGCTGAGCCTGGGGGTGGGGGAAAGTGGGGGAAGATGGGGGGGTGGTCCTTCCTAGAGCTACCGACTGAAGCGCAAGGCACAAGCAACTGCTCAGAACGCATGCTTTTCTGTTTGTGTCTTGAAGGTGATGGCTTGCCGCAGTTCTTTTCCAAGCGCCTGTGAGGAAAGACTAGTTTTTCATTTAAGTTCCTCGATCCATTACAGACTGATCATTTTGTAAAATACAACACAAATGAACTACTAGAAAAATGAAGCAAAAAAACCAGATGTGCAAAGCACAAGCCCAGTTTTTAAAGTAGGACAACAAACCTAAGTACAAATCATCTGTCACTTTGCTGTGCAGTTTCTAAACACTCTCATTGTCTTCTTACAGCCCCATAACCACCAGGGCAGGCGGGAACCAGTCTGTGTTCCACACTTGAAGCAACACAGGTTTATTATTTTATTTCGATTTCTTGGTAGAGACAGGGTCTTGATATACTGCCCAGGCAATGCCACAAGCGATGCTCCTATCTCAGCCTCCTGGGTAGCTGGGACCACAGGCATGAGCCACTGTGCCCAGCAGAGCAGCACGGTACTTCAGAAGTTCTGCAAAGTGCATGTACTTCAATGTCAGTGAGACCTGGGTTCTAATCCTGCCTCTGCTACCTACTTGCTAAGTGTCAAGCAAGTTAACCTAACCTCTCTGAGCCTGTTTCCTCATCTGTAAAATACAGAGTCTAACAGCTCATTGTGAGAAAAATGTGCAGTGACACACAAAGACCCGGGGCACTGTGCCTGGCACAGACACCTCCCAGCTTGGTGTGTTTCTGTTTGGCTCTTCAGCAATGAACCCTAAGGAAAATAAAATTGTTGAGTGGCCTAGGGATGAAGATCTGGTTGGGTGTAATCCCAGTCCCTGGGAGAGATACAACATGAACGCGGGCTGGTCGTGGTGGCTCATGCCTGTAACCCCAGCACTTTGGGAGGCCGAGGTGGAAGGCGGTCTGAGCCCAGGGGTTCTAGACCAGCCTAGGCAACACAGCAAGACCTGTTCTCTACAAAAAATACAAAAATTAACCAGGTCTGGTGGCGCACACCTGATTTCCCAGCCACTCAGAAGACTGTGGTGGGAGGATCACCTGAGCCGAAGAGGTTGAGGCTGTGGCAAGCCATGATCATGCCATTGCACTCCAGTCTGGGCAACAGAGTGAGACCCCAACTCAAAAACAAACAGATGGAAAACTTGAAGTTGGACATGACCAGAAAGAGAGCTGTGACCCATGGCCTGAGGGAGTTTCCTGTAAAGGGCTCAAGGAAGGAAAAACGACTGTTTGGGGCTGCAGAATCTCAGCTAGGTCTTCAAGCAGGGGGCGATTCAGTGGGATTGGAAGAGGGAGAGTAAGCATTTATAGGGGTGTACTCAGCTCCAGGCAGAGCAGGCCAGTTTGAGGGCAAGGCTAGAAAAGCCGCTGAGGACTGGACTAGAAACCTGAGGGCTATACAGGGATTGGAGGGTAGTGGGCTCCGTATAGGGAGCCAGGCAGGAAGGGGGAGGGCGTAACCTGTCCCAGCCCCGAGGGAGGAAAATCACCAGGCATTGGAGTGAGTGTGTTGGCTGGAGGAGGGACAGGCCAGGAGACCACCGAGGGAGTCCTGGGGCAGCCCCAAGAGCTGCCGTGGTCGCCACGGCCCAAGGTGTGGGCTTGGGGCCTGACACTAGGCAGAAGGGTGAGGCACATCAGAGGCCAACTGTGACCCCATCCCACGGTCCCCTGGAAGTCCACCGGCCACTGTCACCCACATTCCAGCCATCCCCAGGACTCCCTGACACAGGAAAAAATTCATAGCCATTGATTTTGTAATTAACAGTTTATCAATGCCATCGATACAGACCCACTGATGGATTGTGAAGAAATTAATCTTGCAGTGTTATTTTATTTCGCTTTTGATTGAAGGCTGCTGCCAATTTTGACCTCCTTGGGGAGAGTGGGGGGAGGTGGAGAGGGTGGGAGGGGGAGCAGGCAGGGGTCAGTGTCAGAAAGACTGGGTGACCAGGCCCAGCTGTTTCAAGTACACACTCTGTGAGTGGCCCAGTCCAGGAGGGGAACTGCTCTCTGCCTCCCGTGGCCAGGAGGGACGCTCTGCCTTGCTGGCAGGAGAGGAAAAGTGTGGAAGAGTCCCGGGCATGGGACAGTATCGCCCTAGCTCTGCAAGGAGGGGTCCTTGCCCCAGCCTGGGTCCCCCGCAATCATGGTGACACTAGCTGACATTCACTAGGTGCTTACAAGGGCCGGTGGCGTGCGTGCCTTGACCAGACCATGCCCTCTCCCCACCCCGCAGCCTGACCATCGGCACACACCACCCCATGCTGCTGGATTGGGGTTCATGGCCTAAATTCAAAGCTCTCCCCAAGACTTTAGAGGACTTGTAATAGCTCTCTCCATCACTGTGCTCCATGCCTCTCACCAGACAGACCAGGGCACCCAGACTCCGAGCTCAGCCTCTCTAAGTGCCTATAATCTGTGTTCTGTTCCAGAATTGTGAGGCTAGGTTTTGCCCTGAAGACTTGAGCTGGTGCCTGGTAGCAGCAGCAGTGGGGGGGGGGGGGGGGGGGGGGGGGGGGGGTAATAGCAATAGTAATGCCAGAGTAATAGTAACGTGGTAATAATAGCCATGTCATAGTAGCAGTCGTGTAATAGCCATGTCATAATGACAGTGATCAGGATAGCAGTGGTGGTGAGGAGGGGAAGATTGCCGCCACCTGGGGCCTCACTGTGACAAGTGTTGTTCTAAACCCTTGACCTGTGTTCACTCCTTAAACCCTTGAGGTAGGTATGACTATTATCCCATTTCACAAGTGAGGAAAATGAGGCACATAGAAGTGAGACAACTTGCCTAACGCCACACAGTGAGCAAGTGACGGACACAGGATTCCCACTCCGCCAGTCTGGTTCCTGGCACTTCAAGACACCCAACAGGTCTGCCCTGGTTCAAGCCCTCTGAGCTGTCTGCTGTCACCTCCTGGTGGCCTCTTGAGAAATGTCCTCCAGAGATGTCATCTCTCCCTGGGTCTGAGCCTGCAGTGCTGTTGTCAGTGTCTGTGACCTCAGACTGGCCGCTTGACCTCTCTGAGCCTTGGTCTGCCTCTCTGTGAAGTGAGGGGTCTTTTTTGTTTGTTTTATTTTTAAGCAGGATCTCACTCTGTCGCCCAGGCTAAAGTGCAGTGGCGTGATCATAGCTCACTGCACCCTCAACTTCCTGGGCACAGGTGATCCTTCTGCCTCAGTTTCCAGAGTAGCTGGGACTATAGGAGTGCACCACAACCTCCAGCTAATTTTTTATATTTTTTTGTAGAGACAGGGTCTCGCTCTGTTGCCCAGGCTGGACTTGAACTCCTGGCCTCAAGTGATCTTCTTGCCTCAGCCTCCCAAAGCACTGGGATTACAGCGGTGATGAAGTGAAGGTTTTGCAGGCAGCCCTGACTGGATCCCTGGATGGCCCTGCCACCGCCAGGCAGCCCCCTCGCTGGCCTGCTAACGCCCGCCCTTGTGCCTGCAGATTCCATGTACATCGAGGACCTGGAGGCCGTCCAGAAGCTGCAGGACCTGCTGCACGAGGCGCTGCAGGACTACGAGCTGAGCCAGCGCCACGAGGAGCCGCGGAGGACCGGCAAGCTGCTGCTGACGCTGCCCCTGCTGCGACAGACGGCCGCCAAGGCGGTGCAGCACTTCTACAGCGTCAAGCTGCAGGGCAAGGTGCCCATGCACAAACTCTTCCTGGAGATGCTGGAGGCCAAGGTCTGACAGCCGGCAGGCGGACCCGCGCCCACCATCAACGGACGCCTGCGGACCCACCAGCCGCGCCTCCAAACCCTGTATTGAGGCTCTGAGCTGATGCCGAGGAAGGGCTTCTGGCCTCCTGCCCTCCGGCCATGCAGACTTCTGGAGCGGCGGGCCC